GGGCGTGGGAGCCGCTTACCGCCGCCTCCCAGCGTAGCCACCCAAGCTGCCACCGCCGCCTCCCTCCATGGCTGCGGCGCCGCCACCTGACAACGGAAGTGACGCACCGCCCCCCTCCCGGGCGCAGCACCGCCCCTCCCGGACACACCCCTCATGCGTCAAGGGCCCACACCCCTCGGATTGGGTCGCCATTTTGACGATGGGCGGAAGCCTTCAGGCAAGAGGTCAGAATCCGATTGAGGATTGGTTCAAAGTAGGGCCTGGGCCAAAAGCTATGAAACTATTGGAGACTGAGACCTATGGGGGCGGTACTTACCGTTAATCGATGTCTGCCATGAGGCTGGGACGGAGGTACCGCCCCACCTTGACGCCCCAGAACCTTGCGGACGGTCCAACTCGTTCTGCCGAGGTTGAGCTCTCCAGCCGCTGGAAATCTGCCAACTGTCGTTTATTTATCAGAAAAGTGATACTTCCTTAATGCCTATTTCTTGGATTCTGGAACTCTGTGCGGGAAGCTCTGCAGTTAGGCTCAATAAAAGACAAGAATTCCTATCTTAACTCTCATAATTAATTTCCCTCTGTGTAGGCCCTTTAGAAACCCCAAGGATAGCCAGCTTCAACTTGGAGATTTCTGTAGTCCTGACCAGGGAGGTTTACAGGAAAGAGTTCCTATTAATGATTCCAGTCACCTAACCAAGTCTCTCCTACCACAGTTTCAATCCCTTTCTCCTCCTCCAACAGCCACGCCCTCCATGAATCAGCTTCTAGCACCAGCAGATGAGCCCTTTAAAGGGATTGCATCATGGTGGTGACTCACTTGGGCCCTCCGAGAGCCTGACTTCTGTCCCCTGGCATGCAGAAGCAGCTAGAAGGGCTCAGTGACGGCAGCACCAGCGGCCATAGCCCCACTCCTTTGTCTCTGAAAAATGAGCCGGGACCCTTGCTGCTTGTGACTTTAACTCTCAGCTGTCTTTTCAGCTGTCCCCTGGGTCACTCTGCATCCATGTGTAGGCACTCGTGTCCAAGCCTGTGTGCACTGCTGGATTTTAGGGTGTGTGGCCAGGCACTTATGTGTATGTGCAATGACACCACATCCCCACCCCCAGGAGACTCTCGGCTGATTCAAAATACAGGATTTTAACAAAGGAAAAAAAGAGAAAGAAAGGAGGAAAAGAAAAAATTAAATTAAATGAAAGAAAGAAAAAGAAAGGAGGAAAAGAGGTAATGAACATATCCATACAGATAGTACCTGGACATGAGGGCTGATCTGAGGGAGGTCTGGCGGCCCCACCACCACTTTCCTTTTCATTGTCTCTCTGAATGCCTAGTGCCTATTAAACTGCATAAAGGGCTGAGTAACAGTAATCAGAGCATTTCCCACTGCTGTGCCACCCATTGTGTTAAGCACTTAAGAGACACCAGCATTAGGCATCTGTTTACAGATAAGGCTCAGAAAGGGAAAGTAACCTGTTCAAAGGCACACAGCTAATAATGGCAGGATTGTGCTTTGAACCCAGTCTGGTGGATTTCTAAAAGCTAGAATTTAAATCCCTCCTGTGTCACAAGCTAGATAACTAAGTGTAAGTTCCCAGAACTTCTTGCTTATACAGACAGAAATAACTCTTCATAGGATCATTGTGAGGACTCAGTAAGTTATGAAAACAGCTACTCACAGGACCTAGAAAGTGTCACCTTAGCGGCAGAATCTCAAGAAAGTGGATGGCCAAAAGACAGACATGGAGAAGCCAGGCCCCAGCCCTCCATACTTCTCTTTTTGATAAAGGGAGAAGCCCCAGGATTCCGGAAGCCCTGACTCTGACAAGAATGAATTCTGCGTTTTCCAGGGCGCTAATTATCAGCCAGATGAATCACTTGGCAATGACACCATCACCCCCACCCCCAGGAGATTCTCAGCTGATTCAAAATATAGGACTTTTTTTTTGGTACCAGGGATCAACTTGGGGCCTTGTGCTTGTGAGGCAGGCGCTGGAACCACTGAGCTAAATCCCCAGCCCCAAAATATAGGATTTTAACAAAGAAGAGGAGGAGGAGGAGAAGGGAGGAGAAGAGGTAATGAACAGAAAGTAGGGGTGCCAGCCAGAGAAAATGAAAAACTGTCACCAGGACACTAACACAAGGAGATGGCTGGGACACACACATGTGATGACATGCTCCTTCTGGCTCTCCAGCTCTGGCTGACTGGCAGACGGAGATGCCGTAACAAAGTGATGCCTGTCACAACACCACTCCTTGATGAGGTAAAGGAAGATCTGCCTGTCACAGAAGGAGGGGAAGAGACCCTCAACCTCTAGGGCCCTCTTCAGGCTTCTGAAGGTCAGCTCTTCTTATTGGCTGTTTTCAAGTTTGTTTTTTTTTTCACTCTTTCTGTGGGCAAGCCCCAAGGTTTAGGTATGGCAAATTTTGAGTGTCAGATCCACATGGTAGCTGGATATGACAACTAAGGTGAGCAGAGGCTACTCTAACTTAATTCTGCCATCAGTATGATGTGAAGAGTGCTGGGCTGCCTATACCAACCCTTCTCAGCACGAAGCAGCTGGATGGAAACTATGCCCATTCTCCCCTGTCCGCAGTTAGGGAAACCTCCAGTGGGGGGAATATTATAGACAGCTAAGTCAGGTAGAAATATTATAGGCAGTCAGACAAGACTAGGCCCTTGAGGGAATCAGTGCAGAAGATGAGAACACATCGGAACTGTGGCTGGAGGTGCATCTAAAGAAGATTAAAGTCACAATGGCCAGTTTACATACTTCCCTAAGGGAAAAACAGAAGTTTAAAATTGGTCCACCCTTTTGAGATGTCCTGCATTAATAAACCATTATCTCATTAGGGGTGGGATGGCCATCTTCTTCCACCCACTAAGACTAAAACTAGACTAAGACTATAGATTATCGGCCAAGATTAATGTCATCCATATGTCCTTGTTTCTATTGGATCAATATTACTGAAGCAGCTCTACTTGTAATCTTATTGGTTGATTATAGTTTTGACTCACGTTGTACCCACCTCATACTTTTGTTCTATAAAATTTTCTCAAAGAAGTGGGCTCCTTGGCAATTCATTCAGGACCCCTCCTGTCTCTTAGGAGCTATTTCTATTCCTCATTCTTATTCCCCAATAAATTTTCCTACTCTTAAAAAAAAAAAGAAAAAAAGTGCTGGGCTGGGCATCACAGAACATTCCCGTAATCCCAGCACTTGGAAGGCTGAAGTAGGAGGATCACCATGAGTTTGGGGCCAGCCTGGGCTACATAGCGATGCCCTGGCTCAAATAAAAAGAAGAAAAGGGCTGGAGATTTAGCTCAGTGGCACTGTGCCTGCCTTGCAAGTGCAAGGTCCTGAGTTCAATCCCTGGTACAAAAAAAGAAAAGAAAAGAAAAAAGTGCTAGGAAGCAGATAGTATCTTAGTTAAGATCATGGAGTTGGACTGGTTGTGGTGGTGCACATCTATAATCCTATAATTCTGGGAAGTTAAGGAAGGAGGATTGCAAATTTAAACCCAGCCTGGGCAATCTGGCAATTTAGCAAGACCCTGTCTTAGAAAAAATATTTTTTTGGAGTACTGGGAATCGAACTCAGGGCTTGAACTTGCCAGGCAGGCACTGTGCCACTGAACTACATCCCCAGCCCTTTGTTTTAGAATTTCAAAGACGGGATGGGGATGGAGCTCAATGCAAAGGCCCTGGGTTCAATCCTGAGTACTGGAAAAGCAAAATCATGGAGTTGGGAGCCAGGCAGATCTCAGTTCAAATCCCCATTCTGTGTTGTTCCCCTTCAGCATATCATTTAATTTCTCTGAGTCTATCTGTGAACCTAAAATGAGCTTGTTAAAATATAAGGTTGCTATGATGATGTAGTAAAATTGCTTTCACTCCTAGAAGACTGATGATGCAAGGCCTGTGATGCAATAGCAGCTCTGCCCTCATGGAGCATATGGAGTCTTTTTTTTTTTTTTTTCCCAGTACCGGGGATTGAACTCAGAACCTTGTGCTTTTGAGGCAGGTGCGGTGGCACTGAACTACATCTGCAGCCCCCTCCCCCACATGGAGTCTTTAGCACAGGGGATAACACAAGTAGTAGCCATTTCTGATTCCCATTATGATGCCCATCTTAGCATTCTGCTTCTAACTTAATCAGGGGAACTAGGAAGAGCCCCTTCCCTTCTCTGGGCCTCAGTTTCCTCAACTGTAAAGTGAAGGAGTTAGACTGTGCCAGTGGTTCTCAACCTTTCCACCTTTAAAGACCCCTTTTAGTATTTTTCCTCCATATAAGACTTATATTTGGTAAATTTTGTCTGCCATATAACTTATATCAAGTAATTTCTTCCTCTTTATTGATGGCCTTAAATTATACCCACTGGAGCTTGCGATCAGGAGCAACAGGCCAATATAACCATCATGCTATTGGCATAATGCCACCTCAGAGTATCATCCTTCACAAATTATATGCTGTTTCTCTGGGTTCTTCTGAATCACTGCTGACAACTCAAGGAATCCCTGCTATCCTCGGAGGCCCTTCAGCCAGAAATGCCAGACTGGAACTTACTATGCTGCTGAAGTCCCACCCACTTGGCCATGCTGAGCTGGACATGTTGTGTCCCTTGTATGTCTGGGAGATCTACCTGTCAGCTGCATGCCCACCTGGCTTTCCTCAGTCTTGGCAGTCCCCTCCCTCAAATGAGGGACCCCTGAACTATTCTCTCCAGGCATGGGGAAAGGGAAAGAGGGGATACTCTGTGGCAATTTCACACCCAGAACTTCTGGGGGTTCTGACATCCACTGGGACCTCACACTGGCTGAAGCTGCAGGAAGGGTGGATGTGTATGCCTGGCAATGAGGAGCACACCATCCGGACTCTGACAGGCTGATGGTCACAGGAAATACTTTCCATCTTTCCCTTGGTGTCCCTGGGCCCCTCCCTTACAGAGTTAGGTTATTCTGCATTTGTCATTTCAGGAAACGAAGGATACGACAGACTGCAGAGTTCATTTTTAGCTTCTTTATTTCAAAAGCCCAGCCCACAGGGAGGAATGGGAAGAATTTCTGTGCAGAAATAAATTTAGAAAACTGTGTAACAGGGGGATCTGGGAGCCTGTGACTGGGTAAAAAGATGGTCCCTGACAACAGAGTAGCTTTTCCTGGACCTCTTGCTGGGGCTGTCAGCTGGGCCTCTGGGTCAGAGAGCAAAGAACAGTCATGTTCTTTTTCCAGTGTGTGGCACCAAGGAAGTAACACAAACCTTTGAAGAAATGAAGCTCTGGAGTTATGTGCTGCATATAATATGGCCAAACCAGGGCCAACTAACCTAAGACCTAAGAATTTCCTGGGCCTGACAAGGCCTGAGGAAAGCAGAAAAAAAATGTAACACTTGAGAAGTGACATGCAGAGGGTTCTTTTGGTCTGGAAGAGGCAACTCATGAAGCAGCAACCTTTGAAAGCTGATGACAACAAAAAAAACCCAAACCAAATAAAATGAAGACATCTCTGTGGGTCCTAGTGGGACTGGATGCCCACTACATCGGACCACCCCTCTCCCCCCAGGCACTGGCACCTTGAAGGAAGTGCCTTTGAATTCCAACATAATTCCAAGGAAATGCAGGGAACTGTTAAGTGATTGTCACTGAGTTTCTGCCACTCTGGCCGGACAGGTGAAATAGGAACTCAAAGTCAGTTAAAGTTCAAGTTCTATTTCCTACATACCAGAAATTACAACCAGGAGATTGGGCATGATGGTGCATGCCTGCGATCCCAGGATTCAGGAGGCTGATGCAGGAGGATTGCTGTGAGTTCCAGGCCAGCTTGGGCTACATAGTGAGTTCAAGGCCAGCCTCGACTATATACCCAGATCCTGTCTCAAAACAACCCCCCGGAAAAAAATTGCAACCAGGAGCCAGGGCTCTTAGATCACTTGCAGGCCCGAGGTGGGGGGGCAGAGAGAGAAAGAGAAAATTATAATCAGCACTCCTTACCCACAATGTATCATTTGCCCCAGCCTCCCTCCCCTCTATGATAGTCACAATTCTACTGTCATCCACCCTAAACCCCTAAGCTTTCGCCCTTTAGAACTTTTATACTGAAAGTTTCCTTTGCTATCCCCTGCTCTTATAGTTCAGGCTGGCTTTGAACTCTCAGCAATCCTCCTGCCTCAGCCTCCTGGATTCTGGGATCACAAGTGTGTGCCACCATATCTAGATTCCCCTGGTTCTTTAAACAGCAGGCTCCTTAGTTTAAATTTCACTTCCTCAGACCACTTTCTGAAAAATGAAACCACTTCTGTTACTCTCTCAGAGGACCCTATTTATCTCCTTCACAGCATCTGTATACATTTTTACTTTGTTCATTTATTATCTGTCAGACACCTGAGGGCAAACCTTTGCCCACCCCCCCCCGCCACGCACCTCCACATTGGGGAATGAGCTCATGTCCTTTGCACTGAGTTAAGTCTCCAGCCTTATTTATTTATTTATTTTTGAGACAGGGTCTTACTATGTAGTTCAGGCTGGCTTTGAACTCACCATGTAGCCCAGGCTAGTTTCAAACTCCTGGCAATTCTCCTTTCTCAGCCTCCCAAGTGCTGGGATTGCAGGTATGCACCACCACCATGCCTGGCTTATATATTTTATTTTACTTTGTTTTTTGTACAGGAGATCGAACTCGGGACCTTGTGCTTGCAAGGCAGGTGGTGGCACCACTGAGCTAAATCCCCGTCACCCCTCTTTTTTAAAAATTTTAAATCAGAGTTGTGCTAAATTGCTCAGACTGGGCTCAAACTTGTGATCCTCCTGTCTCAGCTTCCTAGGATACTGGGATCATGTGTATGCACCACTGTGCCTAGCTCTTGTCCATCCTGACGGTCCTTCAGCTGTTACCAGTGTACCTGGGAGACACTTGATGCTGTGAAATGACTGACCAGTAGCAGTCAGAAAGTTCCTAGCTTGCCATAGGGTGGTGGGCACTGAGCTTTGTGGGCCTCAGCCTGGGCCCTTGACAGCCTTGGCCACATTCCAGGACAGACTACAAAAGACCCATATCCTTGGGGCTTGCAGTCAGCTTTGCTCTCAGCCAGGTGCTTGACAGGAGTGTGTCTCAGCAGGGCCTGGTTCCCTTCCTTCCCAAGAAGGACAGACGGCCTAGTAGAGTCTAGCAGAGGATGGGTAAGGGGATGTTCCTTAACCGACTTCCCTTGCTGGCCCTGATGAGGATGGAGAAGAGCCTGGTGCACCATCCAAACCTCAGAGTAGATCTTTCCTCTACTCCTAGGCCAAACCCCCTGCAGGAGTGCTCTTCAAGTCTGGAAACACATGCAAATGCATGTTTCTTTTGCCTGTGGTCACCTTGTGTCTTAGCCGTTTTCTTGTTGCTGAGTCATAATGTCTGAGACCCACATCTCTAAGGAGGAGAGGTTATTCTGGCTCAGTTTGTAGTGATTTTAGCCCAGTTGGCTTCCTCCAAGGGAGGGTGTCATGGCAGAGAACAAAGAGCTCATGGCATGGCACCTGGCAGGTGCTCTGTGCCTATCTGATGAACTAACTCTCTTGTTCCACAGGACACAGTAACTGTCACTGAGATGGTTGTCTGTGGTGGGTTTAGAATGACCATAAGGCAACCACCACAAAGATCTGGGTTCTAACTCTGAGTGCCAGAAGGCTCTCAGAATCCAGGACTCATGTCTTGCTGGTGGCTGAACTCCCATACCCAAGGGGAGGGCCCAGAATACTCAAACCTATGTGCTTCAGGAAACAGCAATGAGATTAACTGGCCCTTCCACATTTATCTGAATAGAAATACCACTTTCCACCTGATCCCACTAAAGTATTCTCTGACTACAGTTCTCTGTCTTTCCTACATACTAAAATCACCCAGGAGGGCTGGGGATTTAGCTCAGTGGTTCCGGCGCCTGCCTCTCAAGTGCAAGGTCCCGAGTTTGATCCCTGGTACCAAAAAAAAAAAAAGTTCAAGGCCAGCCTAAACTACATAATAAGACCCTATCTCAAAAACACACAAACAACAACAAAACCCAAAAAGTATGACTATACCTCTACTACTTTCCAACACCACTTAAGCTAAAATGAAACCTTTGGGGCCAGGGATTTAGCTCAGTGGTTCCACTGCCTACCTTGCAAGCGGAAGGTCCCAAATTCAATCCCCGGCACCAAAACAAACAAAACAAAATGAAAAATTACCCAGGAAATTTAAACAGTACGGGTTTTAGTAGGGTGTGGTGGCACACGCCTGTAATCTTAGCACTCTGGTAGACTGAGGCAGGAGAATCACAAGTTTGAGGCCAGCCTGGGCAATTTAGCAACTTAGTGAGGCCCTGTCTAAAAATTGAAAAATAAATATATAAATAAAAGACTGGGGATATAAGCTTAGGAAAAAGGCCCTGGATTCAACTGCCAGTAATTTTTTCAATTACCAGTATTAAAAAAAATAAATAAGTCCTAGTGCTTGAGCCACACTCACCAATTTAACCTGAATCTGAGATGGGTGGGGGCCAGGTGATTCCAACATGCAGCCAAGTTAGAAACCATGAGACCTACTATACAGCACCAACAGGAAGCCCAGCACCTAGCAGGGAAAGCACAAAGCATAGACTTGTTTGTACTGAAGTTTGATTTCATGAGAAAATGAACACAACTGCAAGAGAAATGGGGAGGTAGAGGAGACACAGGCCAAGCACATTTAATAAACTTTACAAGGAGAGAGTTGAAAACTACCTGACAAATTTCCTAAATCAGTAAATCATATTTGGGTACAAAGGATCAAAAAAGGGGATTGTCACCTACCCCAAGGCCAAAGGCAGCCAGATAGGATTCTGGGTCCCAGGGTGAATCCGGGAGGTGGAACCCTGTGAAAGGGAGCTGTGGCAAGTGGTGTCTGTCCGATACCAGGTTCCAGGCAGGGAGGGATAGCAGGAGTTGGCTCAGAACTCGGGAGGAACCTGAGCTGGTGCTAGAACTTGCTAAGGTGACAGCCTCACTTATACTTTTTGGTGGGAAACTCCTGCCGGCCTTGGCCCTTGCTGCCAAAGTTTCGCACTCGATGGATGATCTGCAACTGTTGCTCAATGGTGGCGGTGATGTTCACGTCATCTGGGATGTGGACGTAACGAACATTTCGGCCTGTTATGAAGAGGTCATCCAGCTTAACCTGATGCCCCCAACGGTCCGTGTAAGTGACCTTGGCCAGGCGGATGTTCATGAAAGCATCGACGTTGTCAATGCGTCCATGGGCCACACTCTCATCCCGTAGGTCCACACTGGTCACCTGCCCCTGAAGGCCCTGCAACAGGATGATCAGGCTGTTCTCGGAGATGGTCCGCTCCTTCACTGAGTGGCTCACTGCCATGCTTCCACACCAGCTGGCTAGTCGCTGTGGGCAGAAGCACACAGATGGGAGCTATAGCAGGTTAAGGGCTGCGCTGCTGACTCACCTTCACCATGTTCTCAAAATCCCCAGCACTGGCCTTCCCAAGCCTGACCAACTCCCCAGTTTTTGCCTTTGTGGATACAGGTTTCATACACACATCTCATAGTATTCTCAGATCACTTTGCAAGCCAAAGATTACTTGCACCTATTTTATAGATGGGAAAAATATGGCAAGGAGAGACCAAATCATTTTTATAACTTTCCCAAGATCACATAATTGCTAAATGGAGGTGCTAGGATTCAAATCCATAGCTGCCTAACCCCAAATCCCATACCAGTGATTCTGAGTCTTTACGGTACATTAGAATCACCTCATGAAGTGAGGGTTTTTTTTTCAGACAGGGTCTTGGTGTATATTCCAGGCTGGACTTAATTCGTGGCAATCCTCCTACCTCAGCCTCCCGAGTGCTGGGATTACATGCATTTGGCACTACACCTGGCCAACCTGGGAAGTTTTTACCTGGCCTCCACACCTCCAAGATTCTGATTTATTTGGTTGGGGGGTGAGGCCCAGGTATCCTAAATTTAAAAGCTCCCCAGGTACTTCTAATGTGCTGACAACCTTGAGAACCACTCCCCTAAAGTAGTTTACATCTTTGCTACTCAAAATATGCTCTGTGGGCTGGCATCTTCAGAGCAATTGTTAAGAAATACAAAAGCTTGGTTCTTGCCAGGCCTGGTGGCACACACCTGTAATCCCAGCACTTGGGAGGCTGAGGCAGGAGGATTGTCATAAGTTGGAGGCCAGCCTTGGCTAGATAGTGAGGTCAAGGCCAGCCTGCACTACAAAGTGAAACCCTGTCTCCAGAAAAAAAAACACAACAATTTGTGTCTCTCCACACACCTACTGAAACAGAATCTGATCCCTCTGTGAATTAGATGGATGATACAATTTGGAAATCAGGTGGATGTGGTGGTACATGCCTGTGATCCCAGCACGCTGGGAGGCAGAGGCAGGAGGATCAAAAATTTGAGCAAAGAGGCAACTTAACATTTAATGAGACCCAGTCTCAAAAAAATAAAAATGATGAGGGGAGGGGAGAAAAAAAGTAAAGAGAATCAAGACTTGTTGTGTACATGTGCCAACTCCCCATGATGAATGTAATCATTATGTACTACAAACATCTACTAATAAAAATAAAAATTTAGAAAAGGTCAACCTTTTTGGCGAACAAATTAATAAGACTGGGGATGTAGCTCAGTGTGAAGGCCCTGGGTTCAATCCTCAGCTCTGCAAAACAAGAACAAAAAGGGAATCATTGGTTGACACCAATTCCAAAGGTTAGTGTGCATTAGGATCACCTACAGGGCTTGTTAGATCACAGACTGCTGAGCCCCATCCCCAGTTCCTGACTCAGTGGGTATGAGCTGGGGCCCAGGAATGTGCAAAGGACACAAGTTACCAGATGAGGCTGATGTTGTTGCCTAAAGGCCCACACTGAGAGTGGCCTACACCATGCAACTGCCATGTAATTAAAAATTTAGATAACTGAAAAAAAAAGGTAGTATATGAAGTACAGTACACAGGTTTTGAAGGTAGAGGAACTGAAAACCTAGGTTGGAATCCCCAGTCCACACACAACTCTGTGGGACAGTTACTGTCTCTGAAACTGTTTCATTTGTTAAACTATAGGCTAAATAAGGACCACGAGAATCTCACTACAGCAAGGCCAGTTTCCTTTCAACATGCCTTGATACGGAATTCATATAACTGGCTTATCTATGTCTTATTTTCAAACCCTGAGTCGAACGTGGTACATTCTCTCCTTAAGACTTCATAAAGAATCCCACCAAGGCTCTGCGAGATGGCATTAAATGTGGCACCACTGTGAGGGAGTGGGAGCTGGGTCCTGGGAATGGTCTAACACCCTTCTCCCCCAACTCAGCCTTCAGCCTGAGACTGATCCAGCAAAAGTCTGAGGCCGTGTTGTGACTGCAAAGCGCAGCCACCGGACCTCTAGACAGGCCTGGGGTCTGGGATAGGCTCAGCCACTTTCTAGAAGGGAGAACTTCAGCCAGCCAATGGGTTCTTCGCGCGTATAGCCCCACCGGTAAGATGGGGATGGAGAGGCCCCTCTGCACGCAGAGCAGCAGGAATGGGGATCGCGAGAGAAGCCACTCTGCAAAGTAGGGAGAAGATTCCTCCCGGGCTCCCGGCGCTAGGCCAACCCGGACCCACCACGCCGGATTCCTTCGCTTCCCGCGCCCGCGATCCCGCCGAAGCCCGCTGGCGCCTAGCTGGGTTGCCTGCCGCCGCCACCTCCTCGCTGAGAAGCCATGGCAACGCCTGGCCACCGGGATCGTAGGTGCGCTGGGCCGCGTCTTCCTGGGGGCTCGCCGTCGACTACAAGTCCCAGGAAGGTGTGCGCCAAGGGCACGCAGAGCGCCAGGCGCGCTGTCGTGTCATCCTGGGCTGTGACGCGGACTACAAGCTCCAGGAAGCGCCGTGCTCGGGCACGCCCCCAGCTCGCCTCGGCGCATGCTCACAGAGGGTGATCAAGAGCCAAGCACCTGCCGGGCTCCCTGTGTAGACCATTGACCAGGAGCTGATGGTTGTCTGAACTAATGGCACCGCGGGAGAGAGAGAAAAACTGGGAAAATAGGATAAACGTTCTTCAGCTGATTAAAATAGCGTGGTGTCATAGTGACTGGGTAACCTTTTATGAGAAGATCAGGGATGTCCTAAGGTTACATTTGAGCTGAAATGAACGACACGAAACTAGGCCAAAACCAGGAGAGCAGTTGCAATTAGAGGGCATGGTTCCTCTGAATTTTCTCATTTCATGGCTTATACAAAGGAACTTGTAGAAATTACCTTGACAGTGGGAGCAAAAAAAAGGCTAGTAAGGCTGGGGAGAGCAGTGTGTCAAAGAGGCCTGAGAGAAAGCAGGAGCCCCAGCCTTGAAGACTTTGTAAGTCAAGAAATGTTTCGAGTTCATTGTTTAGAAGTGCAGGAACCTAGGTTCAAATGTGCCCTTTGCTGACTGTGTGACTTAATGCAAATTAATTATCCTCTCTCCTCGGTTTCATCTAATACCAGGAGTGCAATGATAGACTGTCAAAGGAGAGTGTCGCCTCCCTCCCTCCCTTCTTTCTTCTGACACTAGAGATTGAACCCCCTGTCGCCCACACTCGAGCCAAGCATTCTACCACTGAGCTGCATCCTCAGACTGTTCTTTTTAATTAAAAAAAATAAATAACCAGGCATGGTGGCACATGTCTGTAATCCCAGCACTCTGGGAGGCTGAGGTAGGTGAATTGGAAGTTTGAGCCCAGCATGGGCAACTTAGTGACAGCAAGACCCTGTCTCAAAAAAAATAAAAAAGAGTTAGGGATGTAGTTCAGTGTGATGTCCTTAGGTTCAGTCCCCAGTGGTCAAACAACAACACAAAATCACAGCAGCAAAAAAAACCAGGGTGGTCTAAGGCATGAGGAAAGGTGATTGAAATTAAGGAAAAGGGAAGTATTTAGTGATCTGTATGTGCCTAATTAAACTTCTCTTGGGCTGGGGATTTAGCTCTGTGGTTCTGGTGCCTGCCTTGCAAGCGTAAGGCCCTGAGTTCGATCTCCTGTACCAAAAAAAACAAAACAAAAAAACCTTCTCTTTATAGGGTGTATGTTCAGAAAATGGTGGCATTTTTGGCCCTCTTTCATCAAAACAGCACCCATCAGACCCATTCACAACAGGCCCAAGTGAAAGGTCAATGGGTTCAACTGGTTTGAGCTAACTCCAAGTTTCTGAAAGACAACCTAGGCAACTGTCATCAGGATCATGTGTCAGAGGTGTTACCTGTAACACAGTTAGTGGGGGTATACTGCTTAGCTATGTGACCTCTAAAATTGGTGATAAAGCGGGTAAAGCTACAGGGTTTATTAGGTTTTCTCTGGTTTCAATCTCTATCTCCATGCTATCTTCTGTATGATTCCTGAATCCCTTGTCTATGTCTCCAGCCCAGACTGTTGTACAAATCTTTTACTAAGTATCTATTGCTTATTCTTGTGTCTTACTGGTACTTGAAATTCAACATGTCTATAAGACATATTCATCAAGTCCCTCCCAAAGCAGTTGTTCTTCTGAATTTTCTCATTTCTGTGGTTGCCACTACTATTTTTCAGCTAAAGTTGGGCACCTTGAGTAACCTAGACAACTTTCTAGCATTTCTTTTCTTTTGTAGTACTAGCTATTGAACACAGGGCCTTTGCACTGATCTACTTCCCCAGCCCATTTTTAAATTTATGTTTTAGTTTGAGACAGGATCTTGCTAAGTCTCTAAATTGCAGAGGCAGTGTTCAAACTTGGGATCCTCCTCCCTCAGCTGCCCAAGGTGCTGGCATTACAGATGTGCTCAGCCACACCCAGCTTTTACCTGTCTTTTTGTTCCAACTCCCTCTATTCTATTTGAGATCCCTTCTCTCATTTAATTCCTTATAAAAACTATCTCACTGGTCTTATAGTTCTTTGCCAATAGACTCAAAGTATGGTTCTGATCTTATTTACCTGCCAAATGATCTTATCATTTAAATCCTAAGAACACTTTCAATTAACTAGCAAAATAAAGGCTCCATTGCTGACATTTAAGGCCTTCCATGATTTGATTCTCATCTGCCTTCCAGCCTGATCTTCTCAGGTTTTCTATCCAAACTCTCGTCAGTGTATCACAAAGTACGGTCTGGGAACCATGTATTCTGACATGATCTGGAATGCTTGTAAGATCAAACTCCAGACATTCAGACTCTGAAGTAGAGCCCAGGAATCTGTACATCTAACGATGTACACTAAAATTGAAACCTTCTCTGGTAAGATGCAGCCACTCAGCAGTCTTCAGATGAGCCTATATGCTCTTTGCCTTTATTATCCTGCACCATCTGCCTTGGCTTCTCTCTTGTTTATCCTTGGATGTTAAATGCAATCTCTCCTGGGAAGCCCAGCTTAATTCCCACATCTTTCTGAAGTCAGTGGTCACTGCGGGTGAGGTAATGTTTCTGATTCCTATAGCATATTGCTTGCATCTCTCCTTGTTTGGTCACTGCATGCAGATTTGCCATAGTTTTTATATAAATCTTATCCTCTTTACTAGGCTCCTATTGTTGGGACAGGGACAGGACTTTGGGAGGCCCAAATGCTTCACACCATAAACCACAGTTGCATGAAGAACACTAGTTTTATGAGTGTGGTGAGATGGGGGTGGGAATCTAAATGAAGGTGGTGTCAGTGGGAATGGAAGGGAGGAATAAACATTAAAGGCCTTGAAAAGTGCCAATCAGAATTCTGGCAAGCTGACCACATCTGGAATGTGAGTGGAAGGAGGAGGAATTGATGATGTAAATTTTGATACTGGGCATCCAGAGGGTTGGGGTTAGAAGCTTGCCAGGGACCTCTGGGGCTCCCCAGAGCTCGTGTGGGTTGCTGAGGAGAAAGGCTCAGGACATATTCTGTAAGTGTGTATGAACTTTAGTGGGAGGTGAAGTTCTGCTTCCCACAACAGATGATTTAAAGGCAAGATACTGTCTTTGAACCGTGTGAGCTATGGTATGGGTTTATGACCTAAACTATGGCATGGTACTTGGCTCCCTTTCTATTAAAACAGCTACAAGGGCTGGGGATTTAGCTCAGTGGTTTCACCGCCTGCTGCGCAAGCACAAGGACCCAAGTTTGATGCCTGGTACCAAAAAAAAACCCAGCAACAAAAACCCCCCAAAATAAAACAGCAACAATTGGCTCCCCCTCACCACCCCAGTACCAGGGATCGAACTCAGGTCTTTGCGCTTTCGAGGCAGGCAGCAGAACCACTGAGCTAAATCCCTGTCCCCCCTCCCTGTTTGTTTGTTTGTTTGTTTGTTTTAACAGTGCCAAAAAGTTTATTTGAAAACGGTGGGGTAAATGGGTATGGGAGAAACCAGCTCTTCGGAGTGAACTTGGGCCAATCAAGGAGAAAGAGAGATTAAAAGCAAAAGTGAAAGTACACACCATGTCTGAGAAACATGGTGCAGACTAACATGCAAACCGAAGCGCGAAAGCCACCCTCGTTTTTTGTTTTTTTTTTTTTGAGACAGGGTCTCAATCACTAAGTTGTCCAGGCTGACCTCAAACTCTGGGGCTCCAGTAATCTTCTTGCCTCAGCCTCTCAAGTTTGGGCATTACAGGTGGACACCACCACATTTGGCTTCTTCATGCCTTTTCTTTTTTTTGGTACTGGGGATCGAACTTAGGTCCTTGTGCTTGCGCAGCAGGCGGCGAAACCACTGAACTAAATCCCAGGGCCCTCTTCATGCCTTTTCTTTTTTTTAATTTTTAAATTTTAATTTTTTTCATGCCTTTTCAAAGTGAAGTAAATTTGTTAAATAAAAATAAAAATGACTTCAGTGTTAGATTCTGAGGTATGAGGTGATGAGGAACATTAGGTGAATTAGCCTGTAGTACAGGCAAGAGAATAATGATAACAGCACAGTGGTAACAATTGAAGGTCATGGCTATGGGGAAAAGTGATGCAAAACAGTTTGCAGAAGAATGAACCCAGGGCATGCAATTGGATTGGCACTGGGGCCAGAATCAGGAGTAGGGAGAGTGTGAGAGAGATAAGGGTAAGGAATGGAAAACAGGCCAGGAGTGAAATACAGATCATTTGGCAATTAACTTGGCCAATCTGGGGCCAGGGATTTAGCTCAGTGGTTTCGACGCCTGCTGTGCAAGCTCAAGGACCCAAGTTTGATCCCCGGTACCAAAAAAAAAAAAAAAAAAAATAATGGTCTAATTTGGCCAATCTGACTTTTTTTTTTTTTTTTGGTACCAGGGATCGAATTCAGGTCCTTGTGCTTGCACAACAGGCGGTGAAACCACTGAGCTAAATCCCCGGACCCTGACTTTTGTTTTGGTGCTGGAGATGAAACCCAGGGCTGTGTGCACACTAAGCGTATGCTCTACTACTGTGCTAGGTCTTCAGCCCCTTGCCTGCCACTTTTGTAAAAGGCTGCATGAAACTGTGTCATCCAGGGGCGTCCTCAAGCAGAAGGCCTTAAGCGAGAGAGAGGAGGTGTGGTCAGAAAAGAATATGAATGGACCCAGGAAAACCAAGGGTTGAGAGTTTTAGGAAGAAAAGAGTGTGTAGTAGGGCCCAGAGCTTTCCGAAAGGGGAGTAGAGCCGTGCAGGGATGAGCTGGCCGGTGTGGGAGCAGGTGAGCGGCGGACCAGTCAGGATGGCGAGAAGCTGTCCTGGAGATGCAGGGGCTGGAGATGCAGCAGCAGCGCTTCATACAGGGGGAGGAGGAGACCTTCAGCAGCCATCCCCACGCACATCTGCAGCAGAGGGAGCCACGAAATCAAGGGAGGAAGGGGCAAGAGAAGAGACAGATGGAGAGGATCCTGTAACCGGAGTGGAGAGGCCTTAGGATACCTGGGAAACCCAAGTCCAGTGGCCTTAGCAATGTCACGGCTCTGCTGGAAAACCTGCTGGCCTCCCCTTTCAAAGGGAAGTGAGGACCTGTGAAGACAGTGAAGGCACGGTGCCCTGAGCCCTCGGTGCACACCCAGGGCCTGGGCTCTGCCCCTGCTCAGCAGGAACCCTCCTCACACCCTGCAAGTGCCATCCGGGTTTCGTGCCATCTGGGTAAACTAACAAAGTAAGATTGCTTCTGTCAGCAGAGGCACTGCCAGCCAGAAACCAAGAATCCAGAATGGAAGTAAGCACGTGGCAGCAGCCACGGCAGTGATAGGGAATGTTAAGGCAATCAAATAATCCAAAATAATTTCCAGTGGCCCTTGGAATGCAACTTGGCAGTTTCACTTGAAAAAAAGTGAGTTTCCACATGAGAGTTTACTCTGCATCACAGTTCAAGCTATGCCGGGAGAGTCAGCTGGAGTGGCAGAGTGGTTTCCTTACTCCAGCTCCTTCCTGTAACTCCTCTGCTGCTGCTGTCCAGGAGTTTAGCTGGCCCAAAGGTATCCAGGGGATGATTTAAAGAGAGTAAGAGGCAGGTAAAGGTTAGATTCATTTTCAGGTTTTCTTTTTCCTTTCTTAAGACAGAAAAGTTTCCCAGGCTGGTCTAGAACCATTCTGGTACTTCAAGCTTCAAGCAGCAGGGATTACAAACACATACCACCACATCCAGTTAAGTCTTCAGCCTTTGAGTCTCTAAAGTCCTAGATTATAAACTGGGCATGGTGGTGCACACCTGTAAACCCAGCACTGGAGAGGCTGAGGCAGGAGGACTGCTGTGAGTTCCAGGCCAGCCTGGGATACATAACGAGTTCAAGGCCAGGCTGAACTACATAGCGAGACCCTGTCTCAAAAAAACCCAAAAAACCCCCCAAAACAAAAACAAAAAACCCCAACCAACCAAGAAAAGCAAACACACAAAAAGACTGAGGTTATGCTAAGTCTATATATGTTCCAAAAATTTGCATTTCTTTCTAATGGTTTCCTATGGCTGGACAGTATGGCTATAATCATACTAGATGTAAATCAGAGTGAGTAAGCTGATGATTACAAAGACAAATGACAAGGGCATCTGATCCAGTAGAGCCAGGTACCTAGGATTGTCATGCTAAAATCTGTTTCTCTCCTCCTGGGATTTAAATCTAAGGAAAAAAGTGACTTTTACCTTTAGAAGCTGTTAGATGCTTATGTGGACTACGTGAGATGACTTTCCTCTTAGAATTAAAGGATAAATGAGTTTCTCTTTTTTTCCTTCCTCCTTCACTCTTGATTTTTATTACTGCTTTCTTCTGGGAGCCATCAAAGCCCTTTGGCTTTTCCTCAGTTTTGCCTCATATAACCTCTGGGGCCTCCAGACTCCCTAAGAAAAAGAGTTTGCAACTTGCTTGGGAAGAGGTCATAGTCACAGAAGAGCTGAAGGACAGCAGCTGCTCCCCAGATCTTGGGGTGGGGTAGCATGGGGCAAATCCCCTCTGGGTCCCACCTGGGGCAGGGTCTGAACTTTAACCTCTTCTGGGCTGGCTGGGCTGGAGTCACTGCACTGGGTCTTTTTCTTTCTTATGGCTTGGGAGACTGAGGCCTGGTGAGGGTAACTGGCCCACGATGACACGGTGAATCTGGGGCTGGGATGGGACAGGGCACAGTGTCCTGATCCTGATCACAGGCCCTCCCCGGGTACTGGGCATTCTTGTATGAGACCCGTGTATGCTGATTTTGGCCTGATTTTAAGTGAACACTGGTGAGTTGTTGGTACTTAGTCCACATTTTTGGTAGAGGGATCCCTACTTTTCTTGCATTGCTAAGGAATGGAACACGGAGCCTCGCACATGCTAAGCAAGTGCTCTGCTACTGAGCCACACTCTGCAGCCCCTTATCTTCTGCTGCTCTGTGTGTGTGTGTATGTGTGTTGCTTCTTCCTGCCTCCCATGCTTTCTTTGGATGCTCTTAGCTACCACACAAATAAACTTGTTTTTCTCAATGTTGTGCAAGTATTAAGACATGAAACTCCAAGCTTGCCTCATCACAGAGATCTGTATCTTGTTTGCCAGAGGACAGTCACACTGAAAGTCACCAGCATTGTGCTGGGACAGGTGGAGGCAGGAGGCTGCTACTCCTGGGCATCTGGTGGCCCGCTCTCCGGGCCCAGATAGGGAAGCTCATGTTTGTGACAGCATGGAGGGAGCCAGCCACAGAGCAGGACAGAACCTTCCCTTTCCCATTCCCCATTCAGGTCTGGCTGGTGGTCACATTACTCACAGAGACTCGACAGAAGGTACTTGGTACATGTACAGCAGGCATTTTTGCAGTGAGAGGCTTCCCCTCCTAACAGAACTGTTTTGTGGGGCAGGGGAAGTATCTTTATAGGTGAGGAAGTGTAACATTAATTTTTAATTTTTTTGCAGTACTGGGGATTGAGCCCAGGGCCTCTGCACTGAGGTACATCCCTAGCCCTTTTTTTAGTCTTTATTTTGAGACAGAGTCTTGCTAAGTTGCTAAGTTACCCAGGCTGGCCTTAAACTTGCCATTATCTTGCCTCAGCCTCCCAGAGTGCTGGGATTACAGATGTGCACCATCACTTCCAGCCAGGAGGTATAACTTTAATGGGTCGGAAGTGAACTAAATTTATCTAGAGATTCACTTTTGTATATGCAGACACTAGGATGGCCTCCCTACCCTCACATCCCAGAACTGTGCTTGTTCCTACTCTTCTCAGGATGTGGGGACCACAGTGGTTGCTGCAGCAGGCCCCATCTCAGAGAATGACCTGCTCAGCTGAGTTTCTCTACTACCTACCATCTTTCCAGATATTCCTTCCATGGGACTGAATCGACCCTGACCTCTGGATGGTGGCTGGCCCTGTACCCACTAGTTACTCAGTCCTGGGAGGGAACACATAGTTCAGTGCTGCTGCTCTTTCTTGAGACCTTGCGGCAGCCTTGGCCTGAGATAGTTCCCGTGGGTCTCAATGGAAGTGGCTTTGGGGGCACATGGAAGAAGAAGTGGCATCCCACTTGTGCCTCCCACACACCCAACCTAAGGCTCTGCCTGATGATCAGTGGTGAGGCAGAGGAGACAAGTGTCACAGCACATAAGGCTGGCTGTCTTTGGAAGGCTGGGACACCATATGGCCAGGGATGACCCATATGCAAAGAGAGGTATGTGTGAAGACAAATACGAACCCTGTGTGCCTTGCCATGGCTGGGCTTACTCTGTCTATCTCTGGGAGGTGACAGTTCTTGTATACCAAGGCGAGGAGGGCCACCTAATCTGGGGCCTGACAGATTGAAGTCAGTGCTTTCTGATGTCAAACTTACCTACAAGGCAGAGCACATCCCAGAAAACACTGAGGCTCAATCAGTGACTTACAGGCATCTGTGAGGTATAGGTCCTTGCAGGAAAGGTAAGGCAGCAAACTCGAAAAGGATAATGGAGTGTTTCCTTGATAGCTCTGGGGCTCAAATTCCTACCCAGGATGCTTTGCATGGTTGCCACAGAATTAGGACTAAATGGGAAAAGTCCAGTTTGAGAGTCAGAATGTATTTTGCTGAAATACACAATGCATGTGTGCCTTCAGGGAAGAATGCTCTCTGAGAAAGACTGTACAGTTTGTTACAACATAAGCAGGAGCTAGAGGTAATGGCCTTTTCGGTGAAAAACTAGCAGCATCATTTTGGACCTTGAAGCCTTCCGTCCTCAGGGAGATAGGCAGGGCTGTGCCCAGTCCATACAGCTATAACTCATCCATCATGGCGAGCAGGTCATCCCCTTTGGTGGTGCTCTGCCTTGGCTGCTCTGTGATCTGAAGCTCTCCCATGATCCGAGCCAGCTCTTCATTCTGCTGCTGGTCCTGTTAGACAAACCAGATGGGGAGGGATGAAGAGGACATGTCAGGAGGCTGCTGCTTTGGGCAGTAGGTACTGCATCTTTTGGTCCCAACCATTGGCATGTATTTCAGTTACTTACCTGTTTGTCAGAATAGGGACTGTAGCTACAGTCTAATTAGAGAGAAGGAGGTCTGTGAAGTTCAAGGTTACTACAAGATGAGGAGAGGAGTGTGATTAGGCCCTGTGAGATTCTCAGTACACACCTGTGTAGCTTGTATGTTGATAACTTCATAGGATAATTCTTCTGGCCTGGAGAGTGCCGCATGTCTGGAGAGATGGTAAAGAAATGGGTTCAAGGTCAGGGTTTTCTCCCTCATAGCAGGGCAAGCTGCCTCTTCATATTTTGCCAACCTATTTTTTTCTGTCTCATTTTGCTGTTTCCCTTCACCTTTGCCTTCCATCTCCAACCAACACTTCCTACACTCCAGAAAGTCAAGCTCTTTTCTGTCTCTGGGTCACTGCATACCCTGAACTCTGCCAGGAATGGCCCCCTCCCCTGCTTGGCAAACTCCAAGAGTCAGATCACATGCCCACCCCTGCACCTGGCTGGTGCCGAGTCAGGGCATTCATGAAATGGCACTGGAATGACTTATGTCCTCCATTCTCCCACTAAGCTGCGAGTGTGGTGACGGGAGGCTCTAGGTCCTTACACTCCAACTTTTTGTCTCTGGCACTTAGCATAGTGCTTGCCACACAGAAGCAAATGGGAGAATTTTTTTAATAAACAGGAAAATGGAAGGCAGCCTCTACTTCCAATACTTGGTTATGGGGACAATCACATGAGATAAGGCATGCTAAAGTATGTAAGGGGCTGGGCAGGGTGGTGCAGACCTGTAATCCCAGCATTTGGGAGGCTGAGGCAGGAGGACTGCTGTGTTTTCAAACCAGCCTGGGATACACAGTGAGTTCAAGACTAGCCTGGACTACACAGTGAAATTCTGTCTAAAAAAACTAAACAAACAAACAAATAAAAAAACCTACAAAAAAGTACTTAGGGAGCTGGGGATGTAGCACAGTAGTAGAGTACTTGGGTTAAACCCCCAGCACCACACACACACAAAAAGTACATTATAAACTATAAAACACTATGTAAATCTTGGTGAATTACTACTGCTATTTGTTTCTTTTTCTTTTTCTTTTTCTTTTTTGGTACCAGGGATCAAACTCAGGTCCTTGCGCTTGCGCAGCAGGCGGTAAAACCACTGAACTAAATCCCCTAAATCCCCAGCCCTGCTATTCGTTTCTGGTGTGGCTGTCTAACCTCAAAGACATCAAGGTTCAACTTCCTCCTAATTTCTTTTCTTCTACTTAAAAAAAAAAATGGTACTGAGTATTAAACCAAGGGCCTACACTCTGATCCTTTTTCAGTTGTTACTGTAAGACAGCGCCTTGATAAATTGTCTAGGCTGGGTTCCAACTTGTGACCCTTCTGCTTCAGCCTCCCACAGTGCTGGGATTACAGGAGTGTGCCACCACACCTGGCTGGCACTCCTTTTGAATGGATCCAGAAGGTTCAGGCCATCTAATTCCAGGCAACTTTTTAACTAGGATACCGAATTTGTTGGTATTTCATTTGTGATCTTCTGTATTTATATATGTCATTGGTTTGTAATTATCATGTTTGGACACTTAGGATTTTTACAAATGTCTTTAAAGAATAGGGTTGAAACATACTCCTCTTCTTCATCAGTGGTAAAGAGATTCAACCGGAATCCTGGTTCAGGGCCACTGGGTTTCTTAATCTCCATTCCTCCCATTAGCCTGGCCAGGAAATTCAGCTCTTCTTTAGCAAGAGGATTTGGAGCAATGCTTTCCTGCAGAAACAATTGCATGATTTGTGGCCACATGAATGCGATCACACTTCCTGCAAAGACCCCTGAGATACAGGGAGTTTTTATTAAACAAGGCAAAACAACAACTGTTTCGATTATTTCTGGGTCCAACTAAAGTGTAGAAAATGGGCTGAGCTAAAAGAAAAATAATCTGTGTCAGCAGGAGGAGGAATCTATCGATGCAGCAAACCGGAGATGTTCATACTTTCAAGATGAGTGTGGTGCCCTGGGGATCACACTTCTCCTCAGACCACCTTCCTCCTCCTCAGAAGAGAGAACAGCAGTGCTTCCGCTGTGGTCAATCCAGTTCCCTCCGTGAGGGTACCAGAAGCCCCAGTCAAATCTCTGGGTCCAAGGGCACCATCCTGGAGGAGCACCTGCACTGCCCTCCAGTGGTGACAGCTGGGAACATGCCCTCGAGGCCACTCACTGTTCTCAGTCCACTTCAGCCAGTGCCCTTCCTTCCTACCTGGCTCTCACTAAAGCACAGCCATCCATTACCCAAAACACAATCCTTGTCTCATTTCTCTCTTCCTTAAAACAAACCCTTCTACTTCTTGTCTAAAGAACACAGTCAAGTTGTTTAAGACATCCATTTTCTTTGCAAAATCTGGTCCCATGTCCCTGTCCAATGGAATCTCTGCCACTTGCCTCAGTTATGCTATGATCTAGTCATGTAAATACACAGTTCTCCCTGCTCGTTTGGCCTCTTGTATTTTTTTTTTTTTTGGTACTGAGGATTGAACTTGGGTCCTTGCGCTTGCGCAGCAGGCGGCGAAACCACTGAGCTAAATCCCCGGCTCCTTCGCCTCTTGGTTTTGCTCACTCTGTCACCTTGGGCTGCATGACAACTTCTCATCCCCTAGTATTTAGTATTTCACATACTCTAGAGCCCCACTTCAGTATCAACTCCTCTGAAAAGTCTTTGGTTGTTGTTGTTGTTTATTTGTTTTTGGAGACAGGGTTTCACTATGTAGCCCAGGCTGGCCTTGAGCTCACCAAGTAGCCCAGGCTGGCCTTGAACTCCATGGGGTCCTCTTGCCTCAGCCCTCCAAGTGCTAGGATTACAGGTGTGCCCCACAAGGCCTGACTTCTTAATACCACCTATCCCTTAGCATCCACCCCACTGGACAGAGCATATGTCCTGCTGCAGAATACTCAGTGAGCTCACCTTCCACCTCGTTATAGTCAATTTTTTCTACCATTGTCTTTTCCAGGGGACTACAAGCCCCTTCAGGATGGGACCACATTTATGCCAGCTGTGTCCCTTGGTACCCAGCCCAGAGAAGCAGTTTGATAATTTCGCTTATCTGACTCTTCCATGATTTGTCCTATACTTAGCTGGTAGCTAGTTAGCAAAAATTTATAAAGCTGGAATTAAAACAAATGAAAACTCTATTCAGAATTTAGCTACTGTATCACTATATAGGGACACATTAAAATGGGATGATTTAACAGTCAGCATACATACAAGCGCTGGACTTGGCAGCCATGGTACCTAATGACACTGGGACAATGCTATTTCACATGTCCTGATATGTGGTTCCTGCTTAATTATGGTGGTTAAGCCAAGCCTCATTACCTAATTAGTCAGATCCCTGGGAGGCTTCATGAAAAGTTACAATTACAAACCTGTAAGGCTGAATGGAGAAGACTGCAAACATTGAGGGAAATGTGGGTTAGCTCTGAAATCTAGCGTTCCCACCCTTCCCTCATGCAGATTTCTGTACCTTGAAAGAGGTGGTGAGGATAAGGAAGGGAGCAGACACTCACCTGTGTCCGTGAGGCTAAGTTCTTGGATGCTCCAGACATATGGGTTTCCACGGGCCGACTGACGCTATACCTGGCGTCAAAAGAAAAGGATGACATTGCCTAGCGCTTTTCACTGACTTCCTTCAAACTTGTCAGAGTAGTTCACAGCTATTTTTGTTACATTAAGTGACATCCAGAAAAGTGCTATGAGTGTAGGATATTACTGTTAGCCACGCATATTTTATTTCTTCCCAAAGAAAAATCCCTGGGGAAGCTGAGTGCCGGTGCCTCCCTTTGAAAAGAGTAACACACGGCGCTGAAAAGACACATAGAAGCTGTGTCTCTCTGGATTTCCACTTTGACAGAAGCTTTGGCTACTTCTCTTCCATGGCTGTTTAGTTGTTTATTTTTTTGAGACAGGGTCTTGCTATGTAATCCAGGCTGGCCTTGAACTCTTGGTGATCCTACTGCCTCAGCCTCCGGAGTGCACCACCACACCCACCCTTCCATGGCTGTTTAAATCTAGCTTTCTTGTGGACCTGTTGGGTTGTCCTGTGTTTGGAGGCCTTGGGTGCCCTGTCTGCATGCACTGTAGCTAAGGGGAAATGACTGCAGTTGTTAGCAGGGGCTTCCATAGCAGAAGTCAGGTTGGGTTTTTTGAATTAAGTGACCTCCCTTCCTTCAGGGAGGGAGAAGTTGCTTACATGTTAGTTCCTAGTTTCAGGACCCGGTCTCCATAAAGTTCAAAAGAACCTTCTTTGTGGGCAGTGACATAGTTTCCACCATGCTTGAATTCTATCTTCTTCACTTCTTCACCTTTGCTGTTGAACATTCTAAAATACAAAGTGTGACATCGTGGAACAGTCTCCAAGCATGGGTGGTCCGAAGGCTTCCTTATTCTTTGTACAAAAGACAAAAAGGAATTCATGCACTCTTTCAAGAAAAAGATGCTGACTGTGATGATAAGAATAATGCAGTGGCGATAATACTCATGGAGCACATGCTATATGCCAAGTGCTGTGTGAGCACTTTAGAGCACTGTTATCTGCCTGAGACCATTTAACAGAGGGGAAATGAATCTGAGGGAACTGGACAGCAAAGCCAGTATTAGATCCAGACCTGCTTAAAAGCTGAGCTTTACTAAAGATAGGGCAGGTGACCAGAGCTGGGAGGGCTCTGCCGTGCTACATGCTATGTGGTGGTCCAGGTGCTGCTTTCCTGGAACTCAGAGTTGCTGGAGAATTATGGTTGAGAATTCACCTGATGAGTCCGGGAACTTCGGTTCCCCAGGGAACAGGCCCAGACACGGGCAACACAAAGCGACCATTTGAATTCTGAACTCTGTCCTTTAGAAATATGGATACCTGGAAAAAAATGTATTTAGTGTCATTTTTTCTGGGTATGTTTCCACAGACAAACACAGACGTTTTTGGGGTGGGTGGGGTTTCAAGACAGGGTATTGCTATGTAGTTCAGGTTGGCCTTGAACTCACTATGTAGCCCAGGCTGGCCTTGAACTCAGTGATCCTCCTGCTTCAGCCTCTTGAGTGCTGGGATTACAGGCATGCACCACCACACCTGGCCCCATGAGATCTTCGTTGGTCATATTTTCAGAAGAGCTGTCCTTGACTCTAACTCTACCATTTAAAGATGTGCTATCCAAAAGCAGTAGCTATTAACCAAGTGTGGCTATTTAAGTAAAATTAAAAGTTGAGCTTCTTAGCCTCCTGTTCCAAGTGCTCAGTAGCTACACAAGTGGTTCATACTGGACAGCAGAGATAAGCATCGTTTCCATCACCACAGAGAGTTTTATTAGGCAGTGTTGCTCTAATGCACAACCCCTCCCACTTGCTCTTTATATCTTTGCCTGATATTACCCTCTCCCTAAACATTACCACTGTAAGAGCATGACACAGTTGTCTTCCCAGTCTCTTCTTGAAAGGCTTGACCTTGCTTTGGATCATTATGTATCTCAGACACATAAAAGGAAGTCCATAAAAATTTGCTAGACTAACTTTTCCAGGGATGAACTATTTCCAAGTAGAGTAGATAATGGAGCGGAGGTGCAGGGAATATTCTAGGAAGAGGCTAAGAAGGAATGATACCTCCCAGAAAGTGACAGAGTGGAGGGATGGGAAGGGAGTCCACAGTGGAAGAGTGCATGGGTGGAAGTGAGGGAGAGCAACCTGAGAAGCCTGGCCTTGAGGAGGCAGCTCCAGAGGACTTCTAGAGGGCTGAGGGGGTCGGCACTGAGACAGCTGTCATAACTGTTGAGGATTCCAGAGGGACTTTGCCTTGTGCTCTCTGCTCAGCCTTGGTGCGCAAGTCAGGGCTCTGGCCACATTAAGGACGTTTCATGCTGTTTTGTGATGTCATAGAAAGCTGGGGTATCAGATGAGCAGTTTTGTATTTGCTTTGGTTCAACAATATGCAAGAAGTTATTACAGTAGAGCTGTTTTCTTGATTTAGTTGGTTTTGCTAACAAATCTAGAAACGATCAAGGCTCTTTTGGAAACAGAGAAAATTTGTATAGGCAATCACAATTTGCAGCTAAGTAGAAATGCCATTACCAAGCAGGCACGAAAACCAGCCCAGATGTTACAGATCAGTGGCATGAAACACGCGATTCCTATTTCTCTTGATAAGCATTCCAATGTTTTGCTGCTGCCCATTTAGCAATTAAAGCTTAATATGTTTTGTGGTTTCATGCACTTTAGTGATTTTGCTACAGAATTATTATTAGGCAAGTCTTTTCATTATAATTAATTTTATTTTGTCAGGATTGAAAAATCAATATGGCTATTTGCATTACTACAATCCATAAAATATGCCCAAATATGCACGGTTTTGATAACAATACTACGTGGAACTTTCAATACTATAAAATTGATTTTAAATTTGATGTAAAACTTATTATTTCTACTTTCATATTTTTGTTTTAATCCATGACTAAGAGATCTTAATTTTTTTTTGTTTTTGAGGCAGGGTCTTGCTATGTAATTCAGGTTGGCCTTGAACTCACTATGTAGCCCAGGCTGGCTTTGAACTTGCAGAGATCTTCCTGCCTCAGCCTCTGGAGTGCTGGGATTATAGGCATCCACCACCATGCCCGGCTTTAGAGAGCTTAATTTATATTGATGTTGTTATTGCTCCATCCATTGCAAATACAGTGGACCCTCAAGTTATGACTGGCCTGATACAAACAAATGGGTTAATTAGGTTAATGGAAGAAGATTCATCTGCTTCGTGTTATCTATAGCATGAACCCAGGAAAATATCCAGATCTCAGCTGTACTGACTTACAACCAACTTGAGTTACAATCAGCCTTTGGGAACTGATTGAGTTCATAAATCAAGGGTCCAGTCTACAGTACAATTAATAAAACTGGCATCAGAGTTGAAGTCTATTTGTGTTCCCCAGTCCATGGAAGGGAAATATGATCAGGCACTAAATATACTCTATTTACCTTTTCAATTTTATTTTGTATGTAACACATGTACAGATATGAAGTTCAAAAGAGTCAGAAGAGTATATATAAAGGAAAGTAAGTCTCTCTGCTGACCCTTGTCTTCCACACAGTCCCCACTCCCCAGAGGCAGCTGATGTGGCCAGCTTCTCGAATATCCTTCCATATATATATATATGTATATATATATATATTTTTTTTTTTGGTACTGGGGATCAAACTTGGGTCCTTGTGCTTGCGAGGCAGGTGGTGGAATCACTGAGCTAAATCCCCAGCCCTATCCTTCCATATGTATACAAGCAAATACATATATATTCCACATGCTGCTTCGGTCAATCCTCCCAACAAACTCTAAATTAGGTACTGCAATTTCCATTTTTCAGGTGAAGAGACTAAGGCTCAAGAGAAATAACGTTCTCAAGATCATTGAGCTAGTTCTAGAGTTGGGATTCATAGAGTGTTTAACTCCAGAGCCTGGGCTTCTGTTGCTGTACCATAATGTAATGGTTGGGATCCAAAATGTTCTCCCGAAGGCTCATTGTGTTGGTTGCCAGTGGATGGGGTTTTGGGAAGTGGTGGGATCACACAGGCTCTGACTTCATCAAGTGGACCTATGCTATCAATGAGTTCATTAGCTGAGCGGGGTTATTAGGAGGTGGAGCCTGTTTGACAAAACATTGCTAAGGGGCTGGGGATTTAGCTCAGTAGTTCCACCGCCTGCCTCATAAGCACAAGGTCCCAAGTTCAATCCCCAGTAGGAAAAGAAAAAAACCAAAAAACATCACTAAGGGTGATGGGTATATTTTGTCCTGGGTTCCTTCTGCTCTGCCTTTTCCCTCTCTCTGCTTCCTGGACTCCATGAGGTGAGCAGCTTTGCTTCCCTAAGCCCTTTCGCCATGATGTTCTGCCTCATCTCAGGCCCACAGCAATGGAACTAGCTGATATGGACTGAAACTGTGAGCCAAAAATAAACTTTCCCTCTCTTGGTTGTTATTCTCAGGTATTTTGTCCAGTGATGGAAAGCTGACTGACAAACACATCATCTTTCCCATCTCAGTTTGCCTAGTTGTGGGAAGGAACAGAGCCCAAGAGAGACAGGTCTCCTGTTCAGAAGCTTAGCAATGTGTTTTGAAAGACCAAGGTAGCCGGGGATTTAGCTCAGTGGTTCCGGCGCCTGCCTTGCAAGCGCAAAGACCCCAGTTTGATCCCCGGTACCACACAAAGAAAAAAAGAAAGACCAAGGGAGGGGAACAAAAGTGATACTCTCGTTCTCAGCCAAATAAGTGAAGAATGCTGGCGTCTGCAAAGGAAATCAGAAAGTTGGGGTAGCACTGGAATTGCCATTGGTTTAGTCACTGACACTGAGGGGAAGCCCCTGAGTGAGCTTCAGTAACCAGGGAGAACTGTGGGTCTGGGAGTGAAGTGGGAAAGAGTGGGGTAGAGGCTGGACGCAGGTGTCACAGGCAAAGGAGCTGGCAGCCAAAGTGAGGAGGAAAGACATCTGAAGGAAGAGGTCCTGAAGAGCAGAGGGTGGAAGGAGATAAGAGGAGGAAGGTCTGGAGACAGGGAGAGGGAGAAGGGGTGCAGGGCATCGTGATGGGAAGGGAAGGCTACAGCAGGATGGAGTGGGAAAGTCCAGAAAACCTTAGAATTTCATGGAGTCGGAGGGCAGCGTACTGACAGTGTCTGATGCTGGACAAGTTGAGGATGAGAAGGCTTGAGAAAAGGTTTGGAAGTAAAATCAGGCTGGTGCCCCAAGAGCACACTTCCTGTGCAGAAGCAAAAGATGAAACTGTATTTCAAAGAAACCCATAATGTGACTTGGAAAGAATGGTGGCATCATGCTCTTCCTCAGTCCATTTAAAAACTGCTGAGATTTGTTGTATCAGTATGTGTATCAACATGGAAGCCGGGTGTGGTGGCACATGTCTGTAGTCCTACAGGCTCAGGCGGGAGGATCACAAATCTGTTTTGTTGTTGTTGTTGTTTGTTTTTTTTGGTACCAGAGATCGAACTCGGGTCTTTGCTCTTGCGAGGCAAGTGGTGGAACCACTGAGCTAAATCCCTGGCCCCTCTAGGAGGATCACAAATTTGAGTGGATTCTGGGAAATTGAGGGACTTAGCCAGACCCTGCCTCAAAATAAAAAAATAAAGGGCTGGGGATATAGCTCAGTGTGAAGGCCCTGCATTCAATTAATTCTCAATACTGCAAGAAAGAAAAAAAACCAAACAAATCCAAAAAACATGTATCATCATGGATTCAAATCATGACGGGCAATACTAACTGGGCAAGATCTTGGTCCCTGCCTGCCCTGATGACTTGCATTTCCCTAGGTCACCAGAGGAAGGAGTTCCCACTCACTCGGATGTGCAGGTCTTGAAAGAAGAGGAGGAGCGTCTGCCGGATTAGCTGGAACTCACCTGCGGAGATAGCCCCATACACCTGCCAGGCAAAGCAGAAAGAGGCCTTCACTTTCCTGGGGAGAGGAATCATGAGGATGAGACAGGAGCCAGATAAACAAGGGCCGCAGGGATACCAGCACCCTCCCTCCACAGCTGGACAAAATCTACAGTGCCACAGCTGAGCAGGGGGACACTACTTGTCTCCACTTTCTGCAGGCCTGGAGAGGCTGGCCCCGGGGTTCACAGACATCTACCACCGACTCCTTTCCAGAAAAGCAGGAGAAAATGGCTCTGCTCTGTTTCACTGCTTTTCCAATTACTTAGGTGACACCAGGGGTCACTGGATGATGACGCCTATCATCTTCACAGAATGGACACCGGTGGGTTTGGGGCATGCTCTGGGAGAGGGGCAGGCTTTGCCATTCTTCACCTGTTCTCCCTGTCACAGAATCCACCTGTTTTTACAGAGGAATGAGAACAAGTAGGGGGCTGAAAGGAGACAAAGTGATGATGCTCTTACTTCTGTCAGCTGCCGGAAAGTCTCATCCACTTGATGAAGGATGGTTGGGGAGTCTTGGATGAATCCCTTGATGGCATCTAAATGATTGAAAGTGACCAGCAGTACATCCTTGGGTCGGGGACACAGTAATACTTGATATTTGAAAGCCATAGTCATCAGGTCATAGAGCTGTCAACCCACACACAAACAAAGCAAATGGGATCATAAAAGCGGATGTCAGAATCTCCAGCAGTGAGTCAGTCCAGCATTTACTGAAAATCACCCCTGGGCTGACCAGGTGGCTCAGGGTACTGTATCAGTTATCACTCAAGCAGGGCACTTCTGAGAGGACAAGGGGGCGATATAAGTAACTAAGGTTAGACAACAGGAAGAGACTGGGACATTCCTGAGCGAACCAGGGTTTCTGGTCAGCTTATGTGGATGGCAGGTGGGACACGTGGGAAACCATGTTGGCAGCTGGGGGTCCTGGGCACTGGACTTGGAGGAAGAAACCTGAACTCAAGTGCTCCTTTTCTGGTGACCTGTATGACTCTGGCACACTCCCTCCCACCCTCCCTCCATTCCTGTGCTGGGGGTCAAACACAGAGCCCTGCCCACATCAAGCACACACTGTAACATTGAGCGACATCCCTAGTCCTGGCCAAGCTTCTTAACTTCCCTGAGCCTGAGTTTTCTCATCCATGAAATATACTCCTTAGTTTCCCAACATGGCAGCGCTGCTAAGAAGTGAGATGACCATGTATCCAGTGGTGCACACAAAGTTCTACTATTGTACATTTTTTTTTTTTTAAGATAGGGTTTCACTATGTAGTTCAGGTTGGGCTTGAACTCACTGTGTGGCCCAGGCTGGCTTCAAACTCACGGTGATCCTCCAGCCCCCGCCTCCAAAGTGCTAGGATTACAGGCTAACTCTTCCACCAGGCCTGGCTAGAAAGTTTTACTACTGTAGAGGAACATTTTTAGTGATGAACAACATTACTAAGATAGAGACAAGCCCCATGTGTGGTAGGAAATATCCATGAAGGACCAGGGGGGAGAAACTGGTGATGACCAAGGTGGTCAGGAAAAGGCTTTGTGGCAGCTGGGCATGGTGGCGAATGCCTGTAATCCCAACACTCAGGAAGCTAAGGCAGGAGATCGATGCAAATTCAAGGTCAGCGTGGGTGCCACAGTGAGTTCAATCCAGCCTACACTTTTAAAAAATGCCTGGTTTCCTCATTGCAGAGCTGAGATTGTTTTCTTTTTTTTTTTTGGTACCAGGGATCGAACTTGGGCCCTTGTGCTTGCGCAGCAGGCGATGAAACCACTGAGCTAAATCCCCGGCCCTTAGCTGAGATTTCTTTTGAATGAGGCAGAATTAAAGTTCTGAGGGTTGAGTATGTTGGGGTAGGCATTTATTCCAGCGCTCATAGCTATGGACATGAAAACCAGTATTCTCTTTGGGTAGGTAGAATGACGTAAGCAACAGAGGCATTAGGGTGGGTGACTTCTGAGGTCCTTCCCAACTCTAAAACTCAACAACCACTGCTAATATTTACAAGTAGCTATTTCCTGCAACGCACCATTGGATATGTCATCTCATGACCCCAGTCCATGATCATTCATGAAAGGTACAAGAGAGGCAGCTAAGCTGACAGGCCGGCTGTCTGCTCACCTTATCCATGCTGGCCTGGTTCAGTCTCATTATGGAAGCATGAGCCAGGCGGTCGTAGATGGTCCTCAGGGCCTTCTTGGAGTAGAGCTCTTGGGGTTTGAACAACTCCTCCATAAACTTTCTATTGAACATGGTCATAATGATGTCATTCAGAACTGTGGAGACAAAAGAATATGGCTGAGCAAGGAAAGTACCAGTGGAGCTTTATGCAGAAATGTTCTCAGAGTACAAATGGGATAGATAAGGGCTGGGGATGTAGTTCAGTGGCACCACGCCTGTCTGGCAAGTGCAAGGTCCTGAGTTTGATTCCTGGTACCCCCCTAAAAAACAATAACAAATGGGATCGATAGCTGAGGATACACAGAATTGGGTCCTGTGTGCTTGGTAAGATCAGCTTCCCAGGGAGAAACCACCCAGGTGTCTCAGCAGAAAGGGTCTTGAGGGTGCTCTGTGACAGCACTTCCAGGGCACCATCTGTGAGGACAATGCACAAATGGCCTGTGCTTCAGAGGTTTCAAGCCCCTCTCACATATGTGATCTCACTTGATAACAAGGGAAGTATTTTTTTTCCTTAAAAGAGATTCCTATAACTATTTTAGTTTAAATCTCTTAAAATGAGAAAGAGCACACACACTTTTTAAAAAAAAGTCTAACCATTTTTTAATTTTTTTTTTTTTTTTTTTTTGGTACTGGGGATGGAACTCAGGACTTTGCGAGGTAGGCGCAGTGCCACTGAGCTACATATCCGGCCCACCATTTTGTAATCTTAAAGAAATCATGACTTTGGGCAGGTGGTTCTCAAGGTTTAGCATGCATCAAAATCAGAGAAATGCAAATTAAAACTATAATGAGATACCATCTTACCCTAGAAAGAATGGCTATCATCAAAAAACCTACTAATAACAAATGCTGGGGGCTGGGGATTTAGCGCAGTGGTTTCACCACCTGCTGCGCAAGCACAAGGACCCAAGTTCAATCACCGGTACCAAAAGAAAAAAAAAACCAAAAACAAATGCTGGGCCAGGGATTTAGCTCAGTGGTGCCACGCCTGCCTCGAAAGTGGAAGGTCCTGAGCTTGATCCCCAGTTACCAAAAACAAACAAAAAAAACCAACAATGACGAAAAAAACATGCTGATGAGGATATGGGGAAAAGAGAACTTTTCTACGTTGTTGGTGGGAATGTACAATCACTATGGAAATCTATGTGGAGATTGCTCAAGAAACTAAAACTAGAAATTCCATTTGATCCCGCTATCCTCCTTCTAGGTCTCTTCCCAAAAGATATATTTCAGGAATGAATCCATACCCATGTTTGTAGCAGCACAATTTATAATAGCTAGATCTTGGAAACAGCATATATATCCATCAACAGATGAATGAATAAGGAAAATGTGGTATTTATATATAATGAAGTACTACACTGCCATGAAAGATAAACTTGAAGCATTTGTGAGTAAATGTATGCAACTTGAAAATTAATGTTAAGTGAAATAAGTCAGACACAAAAGGTCAAATATGGCATGGTTTTTCTTATATAAGAAACACTATATA